TGTTTGATATGTAGAGAGAAGTTGTCAACGGTGCTGCAGCCTTTACGTATCGAGGAACAACACGGGAGAGGAAGACAGCTGACGATCTTCAGTCATAATTCAATGGGGTATGTCATTTATTTCAGAAAACACTTTTTGTTATATTCCATGGAATGCTCTTAACGTCCCGATAGCAATGAATATATTAAATGCTTTGACAATAAATACATAACAAATTAATCTCTGGAAGCCGTAGCGCTGTAAAAAGCACCACCAATCATCTGAGCCGGCCCGGCAAAAATAACTGGATGACCTACCTGCCTGTCAGCCTTCCCTCTGTGCACAAACTTATCTCGTGCCCTCATTTGTCATGTGCGCGTTCGTGTGTGTTGGAGGAGGGACTCTGTAAGAAAGTCTGAAGGAAGAGGCAGATTTTTTCCGGTTTTGTATTTTCAAACTCTAGCGCACTCGAGCTTGTTTCTTCCTTTTTACCTACCCCACCGTTAACTCTTTTTAGGGTGCAGCTATATGTTTTATTTATTTCAAAGTGGGCCCATTTTAATTATATATTTGTTTCCTCCAAATGTGCAGATGACTCCCCAAGTGCTGTGTTTAATTTATTTTAAAGTAGGCCTCTGTATTATTTTTAATTCTCCTTATAGGAGTTATTTGTTTCTTATTAGAGGTTAACAGTTTTATATAACGTAATAAATAGCCTAATAAATGCAAAAAACCTGTAGTTTCTGTCTGATATAACAATAAATACAACTTTATTAGCTATCAAGCTATGAAATATGTTTTGCAGCTCCAGACAATTAATTTTTGTTGGCAAAAGGAGCAAAATGGCTCTTTTGGTCAAAAAGGTTGCAGACCCCTGAACTAACTCAATATGAATATATGCACTATATAAGTCAGTTGAAGTAGGAGGGCAGAAAGCAATGCTTATAAATAATAGTCCTCCTGTGAGTTATTCAATTGTTTTTGGTCAAGGACCTCAAACCTTAAGGTTTAAAATAAATTTGATAAATTGGTTTAGAAAGTAAATAAACCAAAAACACTCCAACTCATGTACAGGGACTAAAATAATAATACAATGCAAGTTTAGACTGAAGGAGTCATGTCCTAAGGAAAATCCTTTTCTGGTTTTTAATCTCTTAATTGCTCCGATTTTTGATATCCAAATGGTTTAACACAAGACAGGTGTCAATGAATGTGTCTGGTGTGTGACTTGATGATTGTGTTACCCCACAGTAACCACAGCCACCCTGAGATGAGGGAGATCTCTCTGGCCATCCGTCACAACATGAGCCGAGCTCCCAGCACCACCTTCCACCCCCAGGACTTCAGCGACCTCATCAGCTTCATCCTGTACGGAGTCTTGCACCGCGGGGGGTACGTCACGGTGACGGAGGCATTTCAAACAACCTCTGTTACTGTTCTCTTACAGTCTAAGACATTTTGAAAGCAATATTAAGTGACTCAACCTTCTAGCAAACATAATGTTCATCCATTAGAAGAGAGAACAGTGGAGTATTTTTCTTCTTCAGGAGGTCAAGTTGATATTTGAATAATACACCATTATTAAAAAGATTCCCCACAACCACTGCGCATTGTCCATTACATTTACATATAATATAAATGTGTCTTTGGCACTGGCAAGTAAGATGAAATGAATACGTGAAGAATTGTTTGTTCTTCCACTGTTTTGGGTTAATTAAAGTATATCCAGTTTCTGGATGGCTGAGTCATGGATCCCAGCGAGTCCCTCTGCAGATGAATGTGCGTACCATAGCAGAATGTCTTTTTAATGCTGAGCTTCTCATTCCTGTCTGACAGTAAGGACCCCTGGCTGGAGCGCCTGTACTACAGCTGCCAGCGGCTGGAGAAGAGGGACGGCCGAGCGGCTGCAGACAGCTGCAGGCCGGGGGTGGTGCCGCGGGTGCTGCTGAAGACCGAGGCGGTGATGTGGCAGTGGGCCGTGTGGGAGGCTGCTCAGTTCACCGTGCTGTCCAAACTCAGAACCCCGCTGGGCCGCGCTCAGGACACCTTCCAGACCATCGAAGGTAGGAAGTCCAGATCCTCTGTGTGTCACAGACACATACAATTCATTTGGGTTTCAAGCCTTTTTTATCTTGGAATGCTATAGCAGGTTGTTACAAACTAATGAGGCTAATGTGCATACGCCATTGTGGGTATAAGGGGACACCTAAGAATGTGTGTGATGTGGTCAATATGCGAAAGCTACCTATTAAGCAAAAATACATTCTGATAAAGTTGCGTCTTTTTTTTTTAAATCACTCGGCTGTGTTTGAGAGATTGTAGGGAAATTATCCAATTTCACATAATTGGTCCAAAAAAATATGATTTAGTTGCTGCAATGAATTTGCCATTGTTGAGTATCTGAACCTGCAAAGTAGTGTCTGGCTTATTCATGAAATACACTTCCTTGACAGTTGGTGGCAGTTAGCTACACTACACACTTAAAGTGCAGTTAGCTTAGGATGTGTGGTGGTTTATCTTACGTTTGGATTTACTTTACAAAATGTGTTTTTGTTCATGTTCAAAATGTACATTGTTTTCCTTGAACAGAAAAACAAGTTGAATGTGCTGTAGTTCAACATTAATATTTTCTGTATGTATAGAGGCATGTTGTAATTGTCTAATTGTACAATGCTTTGGTAATACTGCAAGTCATTATGCCAGTCGCCTGTTGGACATGACTTGGAGACGTTGTGGTTCACAGTGTCTCAAAGCTCCCTTCATTCTCCCCCCTCTGTGTTTCAGGAATGATCCGGAACCTGGCGGCCCACAGTCTGAACCCAGAGCAGGATGTGGGAGCCTGGGCCGGGACTGGGGGGGACGGAGATGGTCACCACTCCAATCAGCTGCGCCTGGCTCTGCTGCTGCAGTATGTGGAGAACCTGGAGAAGCTCATGTACAACGCCTACGAGGGCTGCGCCAATGCTCTCACTGCCCCCCCGAAGGTGTGCAACCTGAAGCTCCACACTCCTCTTCAGCACTAACATTCAGAAGGAGTGCTGAGACCTTAGAAGACAATTGAAATACCAGTCATTAATAAAGAAGGCTTTATTAGCTTTAAGGAATATTCCCTTCTCCTGTGTCCCAGGGTATCAGGACGTTCTTCTACACCAACCGGCAGACGTGCCAGGACTGGCTGACGAGGATCCGCCTGGCGCTGATGAGAGTCGGGCTTCTGTCGGGCCAGCCGGCAGTCACCATTCGCCACGGCTTCGACCTGCTGACAGAGATTAAAAACAGCAACACGCAGGTCGGTACAAACACAATGACTCATGCTCTACCTTCAGAGGCTGCAGATGTTCTGTTGCAGGTCGGATTCTGCACACAGGAAGCCCAGTTAGTCTCTGAAGCTTCTGTGTGCACGTCCCTGCTCTGGAACTTCAGGGTGTATAGTTCACATAGTAAAGTGATACTGATTATAAGGGGGTGGGGTCTATAGGAAATCAGGTTGTTAGGGTTTTCTCAAGATTTGAATATGTCTTGATTAAGGAACCTGGGAACTACTGTATGTGTAACATAGTGACATCTCTTTGTGACACTCAAGCTATTGGCTAGCACTCCAAGCTATTGGCTAGCACTCCATCCCATTGTAAGTGATAGGCTAAGGGGCGGGACAACTCTAAGCGGATGACCAATCACAACGGAGCCGGCCAGCTAACCAATCAGAGCAGACTGGTTTCAGACAGAGGGTGAAAAGAGGTGCTGCAGTACAGGCAAATAAAGAGCTTTTTGAACACTAACGCATGGAGACACGTCACAGTAGAGACACTTGATACAAATATGAACCTGAAAATAAGCACAATAGGGCCCCTTAAGTAAATACTTAATATAGATAAGGACTGATTTAAAAATTATACTTTTTAAAAGAAACAATTGACTTCTAGCTCGCGGGGGCAAGACGTGCTTAGGTGGCATAGAGTGACAGCCAATAAAATCGCAGCATTACTGATGCTGTCCATGGTGCTGAACCACTGTCTTAGCCAGCTGATATTTCTTCTGTTCGCAGGTCGACACCCGGTTGGGGCAAAGTCTGTGATCCTAATAGTAACTGTTATTGTGTTTATATTTATTTATTACCTTCAAAAGAAAAACTCCGAAGGTATTATTTATATTTAAGATATGGACCATGTAGTATAAATAATGTACTTATGAATGAGACATGTAGATATTAATCAAGAAAACATCTTTATTGTAAAGAACAGAAACAAAGCAGATTATGTCATACAAAACATATAATATATAAGTAACAAAATAAGGTAGAAGTAAATAAAGTAAATAATATTTCTGTTAAATATAAAAAAGTAAATAAAGCAGTAGTAAATAGAAAATGAAATCATGTAAATGTTTTAAAACACACAGGATGACAATTTGGCATTAACAGACACACAGGAGGAAAACAACAAAAGTGATATCCCTATTCATGAAAAAAAACCTTGTCATTTTCCCTTTTCAGCCTCATAAAAACAGACTCCTTGAAGTTCTTCCAGGTCATCTGCTTCTCCATGCCCTGATCCCTGTAGAGTGATAACAC